ATGATGATTTTGTGTGCTTGTTAAACTTATTATTAAACTTTTATGCTTATTTTGGATGATAAATGGTTGTGCTTGTTATACTTATTAAGTTATTATTAAACTTTTATGCTTATTTACTTATATTCTTAGTATTAAAGTTAGATTTATAAATTTTTGAGTTATTTTTTTAATAATTAATGGTCCCCGATTAATCCCTAGACCCTAACGTCTAGCGTTTTCTGCAACCTTGTATACACCTATAATGTTTGTTTGCAGGAATGTTATTAAGATTTAATTATCATTAAATTATGGGCTTGAAAACCCTATGCATCTCACCATGTTTCCCAAACTTGTCCCACTCAATTTATATGCATAACAAGTAGTGGAACTAAGAATACTGGAAACTAGTAGGATGCCGGGTGAAATAAGAGATGTGTCTGTAATAGTATTTCAGGACCTTTTTATTTTTTCGCTGTAACCTATGTATGGATATTAATGGTGACATCCATGGTATTTGAATAAAATGAAATAACTTATGTTATCTCAATTATTTTAAACTGGGATTTTTCCGCAACACAACCACTCAAAGCATAAAGAAAAAGTTTTTATTGGTTATGAAAATAAGGGGATGTCACACTCTAAGCCAATACTGCTATCGACTTTTAGCCGTGATACAATCATCGGCCTCTCGCTGGAACCATATCCATACCTGGGCCAATGCTAAGACTGACAACCGCCTCATGAATACATAGTCTCATATAGCCGAGAGCCAGATAGACAGTCGAACAGATGATCCCACTCGAATGCCTTAATCAGATAAGAACAAGAAGAGATGCTTTTGGCCAAGAGTTCTCAGATTATCTAACTTAAGCTACAGTTAACCCCTAGGGTATCCACTTAATGACCAATCAATATCATCATTTCCTTGTCCATTCCCGACTATACAAGTGTAGTGATCCAACCACAATCTTTCATACAAGTGTTGTGATCCAACTATAGTCTTTCATATATGTGTTGTTATCCAACCACATTCTTTCATACAGGTGATGTGATCCAACCATAGGCTTTCATGCAAGTGATGTGATCCAACCACATTCTTTCATACCAAAAGTCCCAGAGACAATCTAACATAACATGACACTAGGCGTCCTACACTACACATACATAGCAAGAAGCTATCCTGGTCAACTAGCATACTTGTACTATAACAATACCTTTTATCTTACCATGAAAAGATATACAATGGGATACGTGACATAGTAAGAAACTTATATAAACTGAAGAATCAGGGAAGCACAACAACACTCTCACGCCTAACACTACTCAATCTCGCGAACCGACTAACACTGATAAATCCTCAATCAACAACCCAAATCCTCTAAGTTTGACCCCAAGTCAAACTGGTCAAAAGTCAGCAGTCAACCAAGTCAATAACCAACATGACGTGGATGCCTATTAGCTACATCGTGGGCATTATAGAATAAAACAATCGATATGCAGGACCTCGCCACGTCGTAGACCCTCATTGGCCACGTCGTGGGCATGTACGGAAAAAACAATCGTGAAGTAGGGCTGCACCACGTCGTGGTCATTCCTTGGCCACGTCGTGGTTACTGGTAGATTTTACAATTCTTCATTAAGAGCTTAATCCTTACAGATCAGGGCTCAAAACTTCAAATCTAATCCTTCTCATTGACTTAATGGATAAAGTTTCCAACTTTATCCATTAGGACTTCAATCCAAGGAAAGATTTACAACCTTAAGTCCATTAAGTCCATAATATGTCCAAAGCTTGCTCAAGAACACAATATAAACCCAACCATGACTCTTTTCTCATTTTTAGAAACCTAATGACCATTTGAGAGTCACAACAAGCTATGGAGTTCCTCAAACTCCAAGAGCATCTATGGAAAGGACCAAAAACAAGAAGATGAAAGGTTAATGTATGAACTTTATACCTTCAATAACTCATAAATCAAAAGAATGTGATGGATCAAAGCTAGCTCTTTGCTTCCTTGCACCAATATGAACTTCCTCTTTCCCCAAGCCTCACTAAATTCCAACAACAAGCTCTTCAATCAAGCAGACAAGCTCTCAATCATGCTAGAGGCTAGGGTTTCAAAATAGGGAGATGGAGGATGATGGAGAATATCATATCAATGAATTAAGATGTTTAAATATGGGAGAAAACCTAAAACATAATGGGCTTGGGCTGCAACAACCACCACATCATGGCAACCTTCATGCCACGTCGTGGTGTCCATCAGGATACACGCACATAACAAGTCATGTCATGTCGTGGTCATCTATGCACCACGTCGTGACATGATGTTTTCCTCAAAAACCTTACCTTTTATTCCTTTAGGTCACCAATTGATCCATTTTAGAAAACGAATGTTACATATACAAAAATGATTTTAACGATTCAGAAAGGGTGGGCCTTAATGGACAACTTGATATCTATTATCAATCATTGTTCCATGATGAGAAATTTGTCAGCTTGAATGGAATTACAGACCTCTCTCGTTTGTTGGTGGAAATAGGGAAGCACCTCTATTTTTCTTTGGTTTACAAATTATTAAAACTAACTTTGGCTTTGCCCGTCGCAATCGCAACCGCAACCGTTGAACGGTGTTTTTCTGAAATAAAGTTGTTGAAGACTGGTTTGCGTAACCGAATAGGTGATAATTTTTTGAATGATGCTTTGATTTGTAGTGTAAAAAAGAAAACACTTGAGAATGTTAAAATTGAAAATGTAATTACTTATTTTCCGAAAATGAAAGAGCGAAGAGATGAACTTTACAATGTAATATATATTCTATAGTCTATTTTTCACTTTGTTATGTCCAATGAAATTGCGGTTTTTATTTTTTCTTATTGTATATTAGGTGATTTTTTTGTGCTATTGTATATTAGGTGATTTTTTTGTGCTATCCTTCACTTTGATCTGTTCCGCCTCTAAAAACAAATCTATTTGTTATTTAAAGAAAATAATATAAAATTTTAAAAATAAAAGATAAAATAATTCGGACATTGATTGGTTATACATTATAAAGCCAGACGGAATGGAAGCGGGAAAGGGGAGCGGGAAGCTTCCCTCCCACTGGAACACCGTACCATGGGTGAGGGAAGCAACCCGTGGGAAAAAGGTGGGGGGAGGGGGTGTCGCACTCTCTTTCCTCATTCTATTGGTCAGTTCTTTTTTTTTTTTTTTTTTTTATCTTTTTTAATATTTATAAAATTATATACCTACTAAAAAAATATAAAAAATATATCAAAATTCATGTTTTTTAATTCCCTACAAAATGAGTATAATATATGTATGAAATATACTTAAAAAAAATAATAAAAAAATAGTGAGGGGAGCTTCCCACCCATTCATTGAGTTTTAGTTGAGGGCAAGAAAAATAAGGGCAAGGGTGGTGTGATCCACAAAAAGTGAGAGAAACATCCCTCCCATACCCTCCACTCTAATAGCTTATGTAAAATTTGGAAAACAATGTCAAACTAGATGGGAATCATGCGCACCCGTTGGCGCTGACTTAATTTTTTTTTTTTTTGTTCTTTCAGGTTGTATATGTACTGCAACATACCATTATATTGATGAAGATATATTTAACATACATTTAACATACATGAGATTTTTGGATATGTCTTATATAGAAATTTAGGAAAGGAAGTAGTTGATGAAATGATTATTGTCCTGCAATTACATATTCAGCATGGTTAAGTGTTTTAAATAACCACTCCATAATTAAAAAAAACAAAGATCAGTTAAAGAAAATACAAAGTGGGTAGGTCACCAGATCAGAGAGTGCAGCCAGTATTAAAGCCCATGAAGTATCATAATCCACGGAAATAAATAATTAAGCATCTGAAATACATAAATAAATCAATGTCAAAATTATTGTCCGGAAATAATTGTATAAGATTGCAGTGTTGAAACTTAAAAACACTCGCTCGCATTGCATTTTTCTTCTTGCTGCAAGGCATTCCACCAACCTCATATCTATAACAAAAAAAAGTTAAAAATCATTTCTAATATATAAAGTTTGACTTGTTTATTTTATTTATTTGACATATTTAAAAGAAAATATCCCATGATAGATTACATTTTCCCAGTTTATTTTTAAGAAAGTACAACATCACTCTTATGGTTAGAAATATCAAATATACAGGGGAGTTTGTATTACTAAATTTTAGTAAATGTGCTAAAATCCTTTTATTGAACCCTTAATTATTTTTTTATCAGAAAAAGGATTATATATGCAATGGTTTATATTTTTTTTATATATTATACATTTATATCCAACGTGTTGTATAAAATAAAAGTCACCAAGTTAACAAATAAAGTTTTTTACCTTTTCCTATTTCATTGTTCACGATCTTCCTGTTTTTGCACCACACACTTACTTGTAGAGACACATATATTCTCATAACCAAGCTTCTAATTATTCGTCGGACCTACAACAGAGATTTCAACAAACGTATAATGAGCATTCCGTAAATGTAATAAAAAACAGATAACATGGAGGAGCCAAGTAACAAAAAAACCAATAAGTGCAGGGATACCTCCACTTTGAATCAGATTTATAAATAGCAATAGACTTGAGAGCCAAGTAACAAAAAATAAACAAATTATATGCTTACATGCAAAATATAACAATCTGGCTTCAATAACTTGTAGGAAAGTACTCAAATGGCCCCTAGATAAGTGGTTATACAAACCACTTCACCGTAATTCTATATACCGACTAACCGTAACAAATGATAAAATGCACAATATAACTCACCCAAAATCGTTTCTTCATAACGAAATGACACCTTCTTTTGTAGAAGTGGTAACTAACGCATGAAACATCTTCATATTTTTCTTATTTTAGTAGGATATTATCCTCACACATATAGTTTCATGCATTCTTCCGGCAGAGGCTCTTATCTTCAATGATTTTGGCTTAATTGCAATTTTAGTAGTGTAGATAAAGAACTTAGAATAATGTTAGTATAAATATATGCCTTAATTATAGATTTTTAAGGGATGCAAAAGCGGGGCAGTAAAATAGATTATATGGAGTAAAATTTCTGGAAATCGAATCATGGTTGAGTTATTAGAAAAAAATCATACTTACCTCTTCATTATCAAGTCATTTCAGATGCTACAAAATACCCAGGTGCATCTAGATAGAAAACCAACAAAAACAAAGGATAAAGTTGACTGTTAGTCTCATGTCCAAAATAGATGAAGTAAATCACAATGGAAAATGCAAATGAGTTATTTAAAAAAATCATACTTACCCTTCATTATCAAGTCTTTTCATATGTTTGAAAATGCCATGGTGTAACTCGATAGTAAAAAGAACAACAAAGGATAAAGTTGCATGTTAGTCTCATGTCCAAAATAGATGAGATAAATGACAATGGAAAAAAAAGGAAACATATTTACTAAACAAAGGCAAAATCATCCCTACACCTACCCCCAATTTAATAATAAAATAAACATAGGACAAAGACCAAAAACGTTAAAAAAAAACGAATAAGGACCGGAAAAAAAATATTTTTTTCGACCTTTATACAAAAAAAAAAAAACACCGGAAAAACTGTAATTTAATTGAAAAAAAACTGCAATTAATGTATGTAAGGACTGTTTCATCGCCTCTGGAAGTTCTCTGCTTGCTAACTTTCTGAACCTACCCATATTATCTGGTCCAGTTACAATAAAAAAAATAAAAAACAAAGTTGATATTATCAGCAAAAATTAAAAATGAAATCTGATTGAAAATAATGAAATATGGCGTGTAGATATATGGACCTGGTTGAGGATGTCAGTGAGAATATGTTCCAATTCTGAAATAAACCACAATAAAAACACATGTTACCATAGAAACAAAATAATTTCAGCAAAAAGTTGTAAACTGATAATACATTCATACTTACCCTTGCTGAAAATTGGTCTAGGTTATGAAATAAATTAATATAAACTGTAACCTTTGGTCTACGGTTTTCATTGTGATTAACATCCCTTTGATAAACTGTCCCGTAAATAAAACAAAAAACTTAAATTTAAGATTTCTGAAATCGGAAACAAATTAAACCGAACACTACAATGGATTGTTAGTGCTGTCTATGTTACTAATGAATCAGATGTTGCTGTTAATTGTGATAATGATCTTTGTTTCCATCTTAACCTGCAACTCTTTTCACATCTTTTTTCACCTGTAGACTCAAATCCATCAGCCAAGAACAACAAAAGCATCACATGGAACTCTGAAATTCTCTTCACAAAAGGGAAATTCTTTGTTCGATTGAAATGATTCCTCAGTGTTGTCATCGCAACCGCTGTGTTTTGATTATCAACTGGGAGCCCCAGTAAGCGGATGAATATTTCATTATCTAAATGATGAAATCAATAAATCAATGAGTTACAATTAAGCAAAAAAATAGCAATTATTATAGTACAATTACATTGGAAGATAATGAATTCGAAGGCCATATATAATTAGTAGGATCACATGATTTATATAATCTTCTACCCTATTAAAAAAAAACTGTTGTTGTAACTACACATAAATTTTTTGTTTGTGTTAATGTAAAGACCGTTATAACCTTCGTGTTTTCCTGTTATTCTGTTACTCCATGATTTTTCGGGATTCTGATTCTATTCTTATCCAAGACCAATACAACACAAACGAATACGACTATGTTTGGTGTGTATCAGGTACTTTATTAGCCATTCAAACCTTTTAGAAAGGGGTTTATTTGTTGATTCCGATGAGACTGAAATATAACTTATGGAATAAATTTTAGGATTCATATGTATATATTTATGTTCAGGTGTTAATATGTAACATTATCCTTACATATGTTGATTATTAAGGGCATAGCCAAATCAGCAAAGGACCATTTAAAAAAAATCTTTTATTTTTCAGGCATTTTATGGATCACCTACTGTGCTTTATGAGTTTCTTGAAATTTCTGTAATGCTAATCAACACTTACACACACAAACTTGAATGTTGTAGTAACTATAACAGGTAGTCTCGTTGCCATGAGGTATAAAAGCAAAACAAAATTCAGGGAGTAATCGACACATACCTTACATAAAAACGTAGGGATAATGAGCAGATGAATTAGAGAGGGATTCGCAACGAACCTGAATCTCAAAAGTTCCATGAGCACCGATATGACTTCCATCAACCTGAGACATGCCCCAGAATCACAATACTTTACAAACAAACGTATATAGATAATTCCAAGAACAATTATTAAAGAAAAATTAAACGAATCGAACCTGCAAGTTTGGAAGTCGGATTCATGATCCGACGAACCTTCTGTTTCTTCCTGCGTCCCTTTTGACATCGTCCAGTCTCTCTGTCTTGGGCGTTCTTTTCTAGTCTTTCAAAACACACACAATCTTGAACAACAAAAGTACTCAATTTGAGGCGGTCACCTAAAAACATAGTTAAATAAAACCTCTATTTCTTCCTTTCTGAATCAACTGGGCCGATAAGAAATTGCAGAAGAGGGGAGCGGTAGTAACATGGCCACCGGTGTTACAGACAGGCCACCTACCCTCCCTCTCCTCCGGCTCACTACTTCCTCGGCCAACCGACTACTATGAGGCGGTGGAGATGTGTGTCAATGAAGGATAGAGGAAGCCGATAAGATTAGCTACCGGAATTCCAAAGCACGACAGCGGAAGTGAGAGGAGGCGGTGGAGGTCAGAACGCAAGAAGGGAAAAACATACCTGGATCAAGTAGAGGGTTCTTCAGCTAAAGAAGGAGGAGACCGACTGTGGATTGACAGTGAGATGAAGAAATGGAGGATTGGAACGATAAGCATAACCCGTAAATGTGTTGTGCGAATAAGAAGGATCTAGAGACCAGTTAGAACGACTATCTGAGTGGAGGCAGAGAGATGAGGCGGTGGGATCCAAAAACCGGAAGGCGAAGGAAGAGTGAAGAAGAAAGAAGTGAGAATAAAAGGCGGTGAAGTCAAACGCGGTGGAGAAGAATTGATAAAGAGGGTAGAAGAGTGGGTTTTTTTTTTTTTTTTTGTAAGAAGGAAAACTTCAGTAAGAAAGAGAAAGAAGTATATTGTTCCCAACTTTTTAAGCTTATTTTTTTTTTTTTTTTTTTTTTTCACCACCTACGTATCAAATAATCAAATTATATATTGTATTAGTATTTGGGAAGAAAAAAGTAATAAACAAAACCAAGAGGGCTAGAATGTAATAACGCTAAACTCAACGAGTGAAAACATGATCGGTCATCTCCTTTTTCTCCACATAAAACAAATTCGACATATCCAACAGAGAAACTGCGAGAGACTCCGTGAAAAAGGGGGAAGATGGCGATGGAGGGAAGAAGGCATGAAAAGGAGAGAGACATCGATGATTTGCCGAAGAACGAAGCAAACTACACAGCACTAACTCCACTTTGGTTTTTGAAAAGAGCTGCTCTGGTTCACCCCCACCGTAGGTCGGTGGTGCACGGCTCCGTTCAGTACACATGGCTACAAACTTACCAGCGTTGCTGCCGATTAGCATCCGCTCTTTCCAAACACTCCGTCGGATTCGGTTCAACGGTAATAATTTCCTCGTCTCATTTAATCGATTGTGATTTTATTAGCGTACGCCGATGATTTTTGAGACAAAAGATTACTTCAATCCAAAAATTCTACATATGAATCATCAAACACAATCCTGATAATAAATTTTATTCTCTCACGATCTGGTAATAAATACGTTTGAAAGAGAACTCAAATTTGTTTGTGTGTATAATCAATATGTAATAACTAATAAGGCTATGGGGCTATTCGGGGTAGCCATTATTGCGCATTTAAATATCATGAATATTAGTAAGAATAAAATCAGAGTAAAGGGGATACTTGAATGAGCGTTTTGAAAGCGATTATCTAGAAATTTAAGAATCAAGTTCAGATATTTATGATTATTTTGGCCCTAAAACATCAAAAAAATCAGATTCAGATTCGCGAAATAGGGCAAACTGTTTAAAATCACTACTTTATACTATAATTTGCAGGTAGCAGTGATTGCACCCAACATTCCAGCCATGTACGAAGCTCATTTTGGAGTTCCAATGAGTGGAGCAGTCATAAATGCAGTAAACATTCGTCTAAACGCTCCAACAATCGCCTTCCTTCTAGAACACTCAGCATCTGCAGTCATAATGGTGGATCAAGAATACTTCAAAGTAGCTGAAAAAGCTTTAGCAATTCTACAAGAAAAAATAAAAACCAATTTCAACCCCCCAATTCTAATTGTCATCAAAGACGAAAGCAGTGAATGTGATCCAAAAAATCTGCAATATGCTCTAGCAAAAGGTGCAATTGAATATGAAAAGTTTCTAGAATCCGGTGACCCTGAATTTATATGGAAACCACCACAAGATGAGTGGCATAGTATTGCTTTGGGGTATACTTCGGGCACAACATCAAGCCCTAAAGGGGTGGTTTTGCATCATCGAGGCGCTTACCTGGCAGCCACTAGTAATGTTGTGGTGTGGGGTATACCGGAAGGAGCCGTGTACCTTTGGACTTTGCCTATGTTTCATTGCAATGGTTGGTGTTTCACTTGGACTCTCGCTGCTATTTGTGGGACCAACATATGTCTTAGACAGGTATCAGTTTCAGTTTCAATAAAACACAAACACAATAAAAGTTTATTCAAAAAATTTTCATTTGAAAAGATGTTGGAGAAGCTTGTTTTGTATTGTAAAAGCCATTTCAAAAAGGTTATTTCTAAAAGTGTTATTTCAGAAAAGTTATTTCCAAAAGTGTTTTCTCAAAAAAGTTAAACTTGTGCATATGTAATATGTAAGTGCTTTTTCAAAATTTTGAATCTGTGTTTCACTTTTTTGTACTTAAATAAATGGTTATATGATATTTAAGAATATAAAAAGTATGGTTGGATACAAAAAACGTTATGTATAACATATGAAAAAATATAAAAAATCAGAAAATTCATATAGTTAGATACAAATGTTCTCTTTTCTAAAAAGTGATAATAGAAGTATTTAGAAGTTAAAGATTATGTAACAACTAAATGTAAAACGTACTTTATTTATTTTATTTTATTTATTTTTAATTTTATGAACATGTATATATATAAAGATAAAATTTTGCTATAGTATATTTGGTAAAATTATATATACACTGTTTATTTATTTTAAATTAGTTTCAAATATATTTGTGGAAATTAAATTTAAATAACTAAACAGTATATATAATGGTTTGTATATAAAATAAAATAAAAATTTAATGTAAAACTGGTGGAACCAACCCATAATAAGCTTACTGGAAAAAAAAATGTTGTGTTGTTCTGTTTTGTCCTGTTTTGTAAGCGTGATATATTTTATTATGCAGGTGACAGCGAAAGGTGTATACTCTGCAATAGCCAATCACGGTGCCACCCATTTTTGTGCCGCCCCAGTGGTTCTCAACACAATAGTCAACGCACCACCCAAAGACACTATCCTCCCACTCCCCCGCCAAGTCCACGTCATGACAGCCGGAGCGGCCCCACCGCCATCTGTCCTCTTCAAAATGTCCCAAAATGGGTTCCGTGTAGCACACACATACGGCCTCTCAGAAACCTACGGCCCGTCAACAATATGCGCGTGGAAGCCCGAATGGGACGGCCTCCCGCCCGAAACACAGGCGAAACTAAACGCCCGTCAAGGTGTCCCTTACACAGCCCTGGAAGGGCTAGAAGTAATGGACACCCAGACATTCCGACCGGTACCGTCAGACGGGACCACAGTCGGAGAAATCGTGTTCCGTGGGAACATCGTAATGAAAGGGTATTTAAAAAACCCGAAAGCAAACACGGAAGCTTTCGCCAACGGGTGGTTTCACTCCGGTGACTTAGCGGTGAGGCATCCGGATGGGTATATTGAGATTAAAGATAGGTCAAAGGATATTATTATTTCGGGAGGTGAGAATATTAGTAGTGTTGAGGTTGAAAATAGTTTGTATCAACATCCGATGGTTGGTGAAGCTTCAGTGGTGGCTAGACCGGATACAAGATGGGGTGAATCACCGTGTGCATTTGTGACTTTAAAAGAAGGGATTGGTGAATCTGATGAAGGTAAAATTGCGAATGATATTATGAAATTTTGTCGTTCGAAAATGCCGGCTTATTGGGTGCCAAAATCCGTTGTTTTTGGTCCGTTGCCGAAGACTGCAACGGGAAAGGTTCAGAAACATTTGTTGAGGGCGCAAGCGAAGGAGATGGGGCCTATTAAGATGAGTAAGTTGTGAAGAAGATTATGTTTTATTGTGGTGTATATAACAAGTATGATTGGGAGATGAATAAAAGGGTAATGTTTGATGTTGTTTAGGAATCAGGGGTATTAAACTTGAATGGTTGAGAATTGTTATAAATTGTTGTATTGATGTATTGGTTTGTGTTATGGGGTTTGTACTTTGTATTGTATGATGTTTATCTTGTCGTGTTTTCCAATCGAAGTAAGATTCCATCTTGTAGAAAAACAAAACTAGTATAGTTAATAGTTATGATTTAACTTTTGATTGATACAAAATTTTTGCAAAAGTAAAAGATTGAATTGACCATCTTTCATAACATATGAAAAAAGGTCCCTCATATAATAAAACAAACGCAATTACCTTATTTTGAAACTTTTTTCAAAATCCAAAATGTTGATTTCCAGCAATCTCTACCATTCACACCACTCCAAACCCGAAGGGGTATCATGCGAGTTCACCTCGAGGAATAGGAGTAAAACGGGGGATAGTTGTTATCAATGGACTAAAACACGAGTGTGTTATTTTCCAGATTCCAGAATATCATATCAAAACCAATTGAACTAGTGACGAGTTTTTGGTTGGAAATGTGTTAAACGAGTGGGAGCTTCATTTTTGTGGCTCTAGTGATACCACTATTTGCTGCTAAAATCCAACTATTACCATTGACCATTGACGATTGACCTTTTGTGGTTCTATGGTACAACCTTCACTTTTGAAACATCCTAAATTTGAGGATAGAAACTTCTATAATTTATACTATCATAACACCAGAGAGCTTTGCCATATCTACCTACAACCTCCATATATCTTATATTCATGGAATGCTATCTTCCGAGTACTCTTCTCATCTAAGGTATCAAATACGAACTATGTAGTTATGGAAAGGTGAGGGTTGTGATGAATTTTGTAATTGTCAGGAGTTTAGTTTTATTATTAGACCATCCACAGTTCCACAATGTGATGGTCTTTCAAATATGTCTCATCAATTTTTACAATTATATTTACATTAGTGCAATATGCCAATATCAACTTGCTATGGGTAAAAATTTTGAGTTATCATTTATTTCTTGAACTTGAACTAATATCTCGGGCAAGCCTAAGATCTTGGATTTATTCGGTATCTTGGACTGCCATCGTTTTTCTTGTAAAATCTTGTGCAGGGACTCAAAACTTAAGGAAAAAGTAATAGACCAAATCAACTACACGTGGTCAATGCTTCATGAATGTTGAAGACCCTCGAGAAAGCTGGGCCAAGCAAAGATCAAGGAGAATCCCAAGAATCTCGAAGTTTTAGTTATTCTTGTTATGTATAAAAGCTAGCTGATCTATGCACACATACACTTTCACTTTTTCTTATTCTCTGATTCTTTCGACACTTGAGTTCAAACACATTCTTTCTAAGATCAACTAGCACTTGTAACATTTATTTACGATTTAATATAAGTTCTAAGGCAGGCAAGTTAGTAAGAGCAGTATCAGTTGATCATCGTCTGAGAGTGAGTCTCTTCACTGTACTCGTGGGTCGAAGGCACCAATGTCGACCCACTGGATTGTGTAGGATGTTAGTTGTCTTTGTGATACTTGCATGGAAGACCACGGGGGTAGCCCGTGACATTTTTATGAAAGACCATGGGGGTAGCCCATGACAATTGCATGAAAGACCATGGGGGTAGCCCATGTCACTTGGTTGTAAGACCATGGGGGTAGCCCATGGCATTCCAGGGAAATACCATGGGGGTAGCCCATGACACTTGGTTGT